AAAAGCTTTATGAAGGGAAAAATTCAGGAATGGAAGTTTGGGAACTCTTTTATCTTAGATTGCAGTCAAAAGACAATTAAATTATTCCCCAGTTTGGAAATGTTAACACCTCTCATTTAGGTCTTGGTTTTATAAATGTTTCTTGTACTTCTTTGGTCTTCTTCCTGTTACTTCCAGTCATTTCAAGAGATCTTCCAGGGGTGTCTGGGTGGCTCATTCGGTTAAGCATCTGACTCTTGATATCAGCTCAGGTCATGATCTCACTGTTGTGGGATCAAGCCCTGCATCAGGCTCTGTGCACTGGGTGTGGAGCCTGCTTGGGATTCTCATTCTCTCACTTTCTCTCTCTCTCTCTCTGTCACTCTCCCTCTCTGTCTCTCTCACTCTCCCCCTCTCTCCCTCCCTCTCCCTCTCTCCCTCTCTCCCTCTCCCCTTCCCCCACTCTCCTCACTCTCTCTCTCTCTCAAAATAAATAAATAAACATTAAAAAAAAAGTCTCTCAAACTACTCAAATATAGAGTAGTGTTGATCTTCCTACTCAGTGCAGGAATAGAGATAGAACCAGACTACAACATATCCCAGAAGTTTCAGTCTCCCAGTCCAGGGCCTTAAACAGCTTTTTAAACTAATCACAGTGAACATGGGTCTTTTAAGTGATGTTTGTGTGAAGAGGCAATAGAAAAGGCTGACTTCATACCGTAAAGTAAATATATTAACTCAAAAGCAAAATAATCTGTGTAAGATACTAGAGATAAAAACCCACAAACGACAGCTTGGGTAGTCTTCATTTTGATTTTTAATAAAGTCTCACAACTACAAGTAATTGCAGATTTTTCTCCATAGATACCTTATTTCTTTGATTCAGACACATCTGTTTTTCATGTTTTAACATTTCTGAAATTTACATGTAGCTTATAATGCATATGCATACAGGTTCCCTTGCTGTCAGAAAAAAAGCGCATTCCTATGAAACCTTTTCAAAATGGCGTAAAGAAGCAATTACCATGAATTTATGTGGAAAGAGTTTTTAGAGTTCCCAGACCCAAAAAGTAACCTGTCTTAGGCTTTTCTGTTACCTTAGGACATATCTTGCTAATAGATGCATAAAATAAACTGAGATTAAGTACAGATGCTCACAGACACAGTTCAAAGTTATGGCAGTTCAATACTGAGCTGCTGAGTATAGTTTGTGGGGAAGGAGCTTTGTGGGACTGTTCTTACTACCTCTGTTAACAGCTTGCTGCAAAACAAATGCTGAATGCTGCTTACACTTTGATTTTCATAATTAGCCAAAATCCTTTCCAGTTATTTCTTTCAGTTAGGAAAACAGGTACTAATGTAGGTTTTTCATAGATGCAAAGTAATGTAACACAAACTTTTAAAAAGCAATGGGTACTTGTATTTAATGTGGCAGTGATCCTGTGGCCTCCTTAGTCTGCCCAAGAAACTTTTAAATTGTGTGATTTACAATTAATTTTGTCTTTGAATCTTGTAAATATGGTAAATAATGTTTCTGAGTGAATTTTGAGTGAAATTTGTTTACAAAGTACTTCATAGAATATTTTACAGCAGTACTTTTCCAAAGTATCTTTTTATAATACTGTACATATCATATATAAAATACCCTAATATTAGTTCCTGTGTTAAGTGTTCTGAAAACGGGCCAGGGATGCTCAATGGTCAAATAAGCTTGGAAAATGCATCTTACTTTTAGAACCTCATGATGGACAAAAAGCCTTTAAGCTCTGTGAAAGACTTATAAAAAAAAAAAAAAATTCTTTCCATCTCTTTTTACCAAGTATTTCCCAAACTTTTCTGACCCCCAAATCCTTTTTTTTTTTTTT